TCACCAGTGGCTCGTGGTTTGCTTTCACGTTGACCAGATTTTTCTCCTTCAGGTGTCCCCAGTGATGCCCAGAGATGCTGCCTTGGCTGAGAAGGAGCAGTTGGAGGGCAAGATCCCTCTTCTATTTCCTCGGGAAGAGTCTCCTCATCACTCATGGGTGCCATGGGCTGCTTGCTCCGTTGAGTGCCAACTCCTTGGGAGGGCGAATGACAAAAGACAGAAGAAGGGAAAAAAACCTAAGTCTTTCTGGGGGCAAAACTTAATTATTGGTGGCAATTTGCAGGCTCAGAAGCCACAGCACCATTTTTAGGCTGCACCAGCCCCTGCTGGATCCAGTCTGTTGTCTGACATGTGGCAGACTGTGTCTCTCTCCTCCTGCTTCGCTCTCCAGCGACTCAGTCCCGAGGATCCTGTGCCTTCCAAGTGCTCCTGCAGCTCAGCACAGAGCTGCTCACAGAGCCCTGGGCACTCCCAAATTATTGGCAGTGCAGGGGGGTGAGAGGTGGAGGTGGGACATCTCAAATGCCTGCAAGGGTAGTGATGTGTCAAAGGCATGGTCTGAAAAAAATCCAAAAGGGCTTTGGAAATGGAAACCATCATCTTCCTGGGATTCTGTCTGGGCTGCTGGTTCAGATTGCCAGGCAATCTGCATCCTGGGCTGCATCCCCAGAGGTGTGGCCAACAGGTCAAGGGAGGGGATTCTGCTCCTCTGCTTCACTCTGGGAGACCCTCAATACAGGAAAGGAACAAGTCCAGAGGAGGCCACGGAGATGCTCCAAGGGCTGGAGCGCCTCTGGAGACAGGTTGGGAAAGCTGGGAGTGTTCAACTGGAAAAAAGAAGGCTCTGGGGAGGCCTTAGAGCCCCTTCCAGTGCCTAAAGGGGCTCCAAGAGAACTGAAGAGGGACCTTGGACAAGGGATGGAGTGACAGGACAAGGGGGAATGGCTTCCCCCTGCCAGTATCTGCATTTGATCATATCTCCATAAACAAGAACTTATCTGGCAGGACTTGCCAGATGTTTCCCAGTCCTCTGCACACAACATTTAGGAGGACAATGAACTACACAGAACACTTCAGGGTGAGATCTGGGCTTTTTTAATGAAAGGATCAAACTCCACTTCCATGAGACAAGAAGAAACTACTGCAAATGTCATTGTTTCCCTCCTCCTCTCATCATGGAATGTCTCTGCTCTACTTCCTTTTCCTGTGTGCCAGGCAGCAGTGCAGCCTCCCACAGTCCTTGGTGTGCTCCTCCTTCTCTCCTTTACCACATGTCCTGGAGCAATACCCTCTGCAGCTCTTTTTGGACTGGCTTTTGGCTGTGGAAAGAAAGAAAGATGCACATCAACATTGACTAGTTCATGGTCAACAGCACAGATTGTGACACAGGCCAGTTCCCGTGGAGACTCCTGGATGCTGGATATCTAAATGTAGGATGGGATGATTCTGGAGCTGAACTCCACTCCAAAAGTCTTGAGAGTCAAACCCAACCCAAATCTCCACACAAGACCCAACACCCACACCTGCTTTCCTGGAACAATATTTTTTTCACAGAATCACAGAATGGTTTGGGTGGGAAGGACCTTAAAATCATCCAGTTCCAACCCCCTGCCATGGGCAGGGACACCTTCCACTATCCCAGGCTACTCCAAGCCCTGTTTAACCTGGCCTTGGACACTTCCTTGAACACTTTCACCTAAATTCCTTTATGGTTCACTATTATCCCTCATTTCTACTCCACCTTACCTGGTGTGGCCATCAAGGCCACGAGGAAAACTGCGAAGACAACATAGATGATCCTCATGACTGGATATCCCCCGGGATCACAGCAGCTCTGGGAGGCAGCCTGGCAGAGAGATCTTGGATCAGCTGCTGAGAAAAAGGCTGGAGACCCTGATATTTATAGACATTTCTTGCCAGGGAGGACAGAGTTAAGGAGGAGTGTGACTTTGCTGGTGTCCCAGGACACATTGTTTGCTGCTTAATGGGATCTTGTGTCACTCCAACCCAGTGGGCATCTGACAATGAGACATCCACCCTGTGCCTGTTTGGCTCTTTTGAAGGCATCTCGTGTGGCCTGTGCAGGTCTCTCCCATGGGAGCTGGACTCCTCTCAGCCTGGCTGCCAAAACTTTTGGCACAGACAGCTGGGAGTATTGATCCCTGCTCAGGGGACTTGGTGCTGGGTCATAGGAATGGTTGTGGTGATCAGTGTTACAGCAATGACTCGGAGAGGGGTCTCCCTTCTTCTTCCCTTCCAAAACAGAGATCTGGGAGGACTGGGACCATACCAGCCAATGCCACCCCGTGCATTCCCATCTGTGTGGCAAGACCCAGACCCCCCGCTGGAATCCAAAATGTTGTGGCAATGGACGTGAAGGTTGTTATAAAGTTGAAACATCTGTCCTACCAAAAAACCCTCTGGAATTCAGAAGGTGAATCCCAAACATCTGGGACTCAGTCAGTTGCCTGAACACAGACAGCACCATTCAAGCCCTCCTGAAATTTTCCAAGTTTCTCCTATATCAGCCACATCCAAGTGATTTGGAAGCCACTTTCTGCAGAAAGGATAAATAACAACTCAGTTTTAGTCTCTGAGTGTGGGACTTTGTAAACATATATTAATGGAATGTAGGAAAGCATTATGAATATATTATGAACATATGTTAATGGAAAGTAGGAAAGCAGAGGTGACCAGAGTGGTAAGTGACCAGAGTGGCACCCAAAATGTCCTTCACAAAAGGTGGGAAGAATCATAAAATCATGGAATGGTTTGGGTTGGAAGGGACCTTAAAAATCATCTCATTCCAACCCCCTGCCATGGTCAGGGACACCTTCCAGTAGCCCAGGTAGCTGGCAAAAGAAAAAGAAGTCCTGGCATTTACATTTATATCGGACTGAGATTAATGTGTTCCTTCCCTCATTTCTTTCTCCCTTCTGGAGAAGAAAAGGAATCCCACTCCTCCTCCAGTCAGGAAGAGGCTGAACCCAAGCAGAGACACTGTAGGTTGTGTTCCCTGGCAGTGAGGGAATGTTTGAGACTGAAAAATATTGGCACTGCATGATGACACCATTCCCTCTGGAATGGCCTGACGTGGCTGGGGCTGCCTGCCCTGGAGAGCAAAAGCTGCACAAGCACTTGCTCCAAGTCTATCCAAATGAAGGGACTGGGAGTAAGGGGGTGTTTTACATCCAACTGGACAGCACAGCTCTAAGATGCTGAGCATATCCCAGTCCCTGTGGATTTGCAATTGTTCTCTCTGCACTGTATCCATTGCATTGCAAGGTAAAAGCAGGAGAGGAGGAGAGGAGAAGATAAAGCTGAGGATTAAACTGCCCCCAATTTTCCCAATCACCCCTCTAGGCTGTTTTCTGCCTGGAAGGGAAATGATCAGTCAGTCCCTGTAGCTCCTCTGGTCCCTGACTCCTCTACAAATAAAAGGATCCATTAGATAGTTTGGTAGTGCCAGAAGTTGACTCATAACAATTTCCTTCTGAGAAAAAAACCTCCAGCAAACCCCCAGGTGGCCAATGGTGGTGAGTAGGATCATCCAGACCCCTCCTCAGGGAAGAGGGAGCAGAGCTGGTTGGAGCAGCTTTTCCTTGCAGAAGCTGTTTCACTGTTGGACTCTGTAGTGGGTTTATGTGGCAAAGTTTTGGTAGCTGGGGGGTGGAATGCAGGGCTGGCTCCTGTGAGAACATGCCAGAAGCTTCCTTAGTGTCCTATGGAGCCAATTCCAGCTGGAGCCAAGATGGAGTGTCCAGTGGAGCCAAGGCTGGGCCCAACAGTGGCAGCGGCAGCACCTCTGGGATAACAGAGTTAAGATGGGGGAGAAAAAACTTACACAGCTTCAATTCTGGAGAGAGGAGTAGGAACAAGTGAGAGGAGCAGCCCTGCAGACCCCCAGTCAGTGCAGCAGGAGGGGCAGGAGGTGCTCCAGGCACCAGAGCTGAGGGTCCCCTGCAGCCCGAGGTGCAGCCCATGGAGAGGCAGCTGTGCCCCTGCAGCCCAGGGAGGTCCATGGGGGAGCAGAGATCCACCTGCAGCCCCTGGAGACCCCACACCAGAGCAAGGGGATGCCCAAAGGAGACTGTGACCTGTGGGAAGCCCAGGCTGGAGTAGGGTCCTGGCAGGACCTGTGTCCCCATGGAGAGAGGAACCCATGCTGGAGCAGGTTTGCTGGCAGGACTTGGGACCCCACGGGGGACAGATCCCACTGGAGCAGCCTGTTCCTGAGGGACTGACCCCGTGGAAGGGACCCACACTGGAGCAGGGAAGAGTGTGAAGAGTCCAGTCTTTGTGAGGAAGAAGGAGCAGCAGAGACAGCGTGTGATGAACTGACCACAGCCCCCATTCCCTGTTCCCTTGCTGAGGGGAGGAGGGAGAGAATTCAGGAGTGAAGCTGAGTTTAGGAAGAAGTAGGTGGTGAGGAAGGGAGTATTTTAAGGTTTGTTTTCATTTCTCATTCCCCTCCCTGACTTTGTTTCCCACCTCTGTGGATTTGCTGAAATTTTCATGGAAGGAGGGTTGTTTGTGCTCGAGGGAGAGGGACGTTGCTGAACCACCCCCATTTTTTTAAGGCATTTGCAGATCACCTGTCACCTGAAAAAGCAGAAAGGAGCTTAAAGATTCCCTGTTGTCTCCAAAGGGTTGTGTTAATGGAGAAGGCAAGAAGGAAAATGATCCTGGGGAAAATACCCCTTTTTCCCAAATTCCCACCCTTTCAGGCCACTGGCAGCTCTGCTGCTCTTTGTCAGTGGATGTTCAGGATTTTTTTGGTGCTGATGAGCCTTTGGGCTGGGCTTGGAAAATCTGTTTTAATGCTTTACGTGGGATCACGGGAACACCAGTAACCACACCACACACACCTGAGTTATATCTCCTTTTTTTCTCTTTTTAATTATTGAGAGGAGGGGGTGACAATGGGGTTACACAGTTGAGAATATGCCCCCAAAGCTGCCATGGTGCCTCCTCTTCTTCAGGTGCTTCCTGTTCAGCTCCTATTTCCCCTTCCAGACAGGTGGGATGCAGCAGTAGTTCTTGCAGTCAGCGGAGTAGGACCAGGTGTCCACCTTGGAGCACTGGTTGGAGCAGTACCCCAGGTTGGCACAGGTCTTCAGGACCTTCCCATAGCCTGCAGGATGACAGAGAGAGAGTGGTTGGGTCAGGAGAGGTGCCTCTGTGCCCCTATTTCCATGCCCTCCATCTCATCCAGGTGTAAATGTGGCATCTGTGCCCCATTTCCGTGCCCTCCCATCTCCTCCAAGGTGGGTGACAGTGGTCAGCAGGATGAGACCCTGTTTGTAGGGAGGTCCTGCTCTGTTGCCCCCCACATTTCCACATTTCCAGACCCAAAGCTGGAAGGGACCTTGAAGGGCACAAGCCAGAGCAGCTCCCTGAATACCTCCCTCCCCTCACCTAACAAGGGCAGTTTGGGAAAGAGATGCTCTGGAGGAGAGTAGATTCAATCTCCTCGTGAGAGACACCCTAAAAGCAAAGTTCATAAAGATGTTTTTCTGTGCACATTCGTTTTCCCTTGTCCTGTGCCTCCCCTTAAAGGATCAGTGTTCTCGGAGCAAAGCAGCAAAAGCCACACCAAGGATGCTGCAAAGGGCTTAAAGTTGGCCCCACAGCAGCTTTGCACCAAATATTCACTGTTAAAAGGTTAAAAGTGGGTCAAGGGAAAGGTTTGGCCCAGGTGGGTGAGAATTGAACTCTGAAGGGGGGTTCTAATGCCTGTTTGGGAGATGTCAGCCCCAAATCCTCTCTTGTCTCCTGTACAGGGACCTGAAAGCCTCAGAATCTCAGAAACAGGGATTAGCAGCAAGAGCTATGGCACATCAGTAAATAAAACATAGAGTCACAGAATCATGGAATGGTTTGGATTGGAAGAGACCTTAAAGCTCATCTCATTCCAACCACCTGCCACAGGCAGGGACACCTTCCACTAACCCAGGCTGCTCCAAGCCCTGTCCAACCTGGCCTTGGACACTTCCAGGGATGGGACAGCCACAGCTTCTCTGGGCAACCTGTGCCAGGGCCTCACCACCCTCACAGCCGACAACTCCTTCCAATATCCCAACTAAATCTACCCTCTTTCAGCTTAAAGCCATTAAACAAATCCTGGACTGAGCCCTGACACAGAAACTGAGTTGCCCAGAAGAGCCCCCCTGGCACTATGGAATTCTCTGAGCCCCCAGGAGAAGTGGCCACATCCAGACTCTTGTTTGGAATGGTCTGGCCTGGGCTCCCTCCCAAACTGGATACTGAAGTTTTTAACCTCAATTTCCCTGAAATTTCACAGATTATTTCTATACAAATCCCTCTGAGGGTAGTTCTCATTTTATCATCCCTTGAAAGAAGTCATTAAAGTACCTGGCCAGGTTACAGCAGCCACCTCAGAGGGTAGGAACTATATTTGCAAGAGCTAGAGTTATTTTAGAAGAATCACAAAGAACATATAAAGCTCATCTCAGTCCTTCTTACCTGGAGTGGCCAGGGAGACCAGGAGGAAAACAGCGAAGACAAGGTACAGGAATTTCATGGCTGCAGTTGAGCTGGGATCTCAGCAAGGCTGGAGAGAGGAGGGTTGGAGACCTCAGAGGGAGGAGGTGATGTACAGGGAGGCTGCAGCTCCTGGTTTTTATAGAGCCTTTCCCTGGGGATGCTGGGGAGATGGGAATTCATCCAAGTGCTGTTTGGGGCTGGACGTGCAGTGATGGCACCAGAGAATTCCCTGTGTGCTGGCAGCCACCTCCTCCCCCCACAGGTGATTGCCCAATATCAGATAGGATTTCAGGACTCTTTGGAACACAAAGGAATAGGGGTGTCAATAGCAGAGACCTTAGGATGGGTCAGAGGGACCCGATGCAGATCTGTGGGTGCAGCGATGGAGGGAGAACAAGATCAGTATCACGGGGTTCCAGGCCTTTCCCAGCCTCTGGCAGGGATGCAGTGGGATGCAACAGGGACACGATGCACTGATAACTCTCCCTCCATTGTCCAGGCTGATCACCATGTGGGACTGATTGGAAAGGACCCACGTTCCCATCTCTGAGCCATCTCTGACAAATGTCCCTGATAAATTCATCAAACACCACATTCAGTGAAGTCTCTTTGGCTGCCCCCTCTCGCCCCTCTGACGGATGGGCTGGAGCGCTGGGGCTGACAGCTCCCAGGAGCCTGGATGAGCCTTGGAGACACTTTGATCATCATCTTTTCCTCACAAACCCTCCAGACAGTCCTGAGGTTTCAAACAAGAGCTTTTCCAACCCCAGTTCACTGGGCTGTTTAATGGCTTGAGAAACAGCCAGGAAAACAGAGGCAACCGGTGAAGGGACAAGAAGCTGCTGCTGGTACAGAATTCCTCAATATCCTTGAACTTAAATCTGCAAAGGGCAGCAGATGAATCTTAAAACACTGAGTAACATGACAGCAAAACATCAAACCCTCAGTCAGTGTCAGTTTAAGGTTGAGAATTTGGAAAAATAGATAATCTCTGTACAAATGGTGGGTCTGAATTACCTAAAGCCAGTTAGGAAGGGGGTTTGGGAGTCCTGCATCAGTCTGTGGGGTGTCACAGTGGTGTGTGCTCTGCTCATCTCCCCATCTCTGGTGGCCCTGGTAGGGAAAGAAGAGGTTAAAAGAAAGGTGGCAGAGCTGGGGACTTGTGTTCATAAAATTAAGTATATTGGCACTTGTCAGCTCAGGGGGGAACACTTAAAGGAGGTGTATTACAAGCTGTAAAAATTTCAGAGGCCTAAGGAGGATAGAGCGACAGTTCTTCAATTTTTATAACCCAAGAAATAGGTGGGATACAAAGGCAAATCATGCATTTATCAAAAAGGTAACCAAACTGTCCTCTTTCACACTGAGCACAGCTGAAACATGGAACTTGAACAAGAAATTCAAGCAGTTAAAATGTATTGAAAGGACAAATGTATTGAGAAAGCAATTTGTAAATTAATGCAGCAGGTGCAAATTTAAAAATAAGGTATAAAAACTTCTTGAGGAAGTCTACAAATTTCATGTTGCTGGAGGGTGGGGAGTTTTACTGAGTGAGAACACAGGATCTTGGATTCCTTCCCAGGCACCCACTTCTGCCTGCACCAGGCTCTTCACTGGGGCTTGGCTCAGCTTTATGTTCCTCTCTGTGATCTAACTGTGTGCAGAAACTGAGGAAAAGTGAAGGTGAGGGGGCTGTGCACCTCCTCTACTTCACCACCACAATTTCTAGCTGTTGCTCTTGGCTGTTTGTCATTTTTTTTCAGCAATGGTTTCCACGCTCCCCCTGTTCAGTCCTTTCTGCTCTACATTCCTGTCAGTACAAAGGCTTTCCTATAGCTCAGGTGAGGACTTTCTGCTGTGCCTGGTCACTGACTCCTCATCCTGGCCACCAAGAGCAGACCATACCTATCCAGTGTATCACATCATCAGGATTTAAGGACTGCCGTGCTTTCTATGTATTCTCTTTTCTGATCATTGTTATTCCACTTGATTCAGTCTCTTCTGGCAGGTCACATCTTAATCATAAAATCACAGAATTGTTTAGGTTGGAAAACATCTCTAAGATCAAGTCCAACAATTAACCCAGCACTGCCAAGGCCACCACTAACCCCTGTCCCCAAGTGCCACATCCACATGGCTTTTAAATCCCTGCAGGGATGGGGACTCCACCACTTCCCTGGGCAGCCTGTTCCAATGCCTGAACACCAATTGGGTGAATAAATATCCCCTGGTGCCACTTGAGGCCATTTCCTCTTGTCCCTTGTTCCCTGGGAGCAGAGCAGACCCCCCCAACTCCCCCCTCCTGTCAGGGAGTTGCAGAGAGCCAAAAGGTCCCCCCTGAGCCTCCTTTTCTCCAGGCTGAGCCCCCCCAGCTCCCTCAGCCTCTCCTGGTGCTCCAGCCCCTTCCCCAGCTCCGTTCCCTTCCCTGGACATGCTCCAGCCCCTCAATGTCTCTCTTGTCTGAGGGGCCCAGAACTGCCCCCAGCACTGGAGGTGCCCCAGCAGTGCCAGCACAGGGGGGTGGTCACACTTCTTGACCTCTTGCCATTTTCTGAGCTCCTTTGAGCCCCTTCCCTGCTTTCCTGAAGCACGTGGATGGATGGATGGATGTGCTTTCCAAGGGCTGTGCCCTGCGTGGGTACGTCCTGTGTTTTCCAAACTTAGCTTTTGTTTGTACTTGTAGGACAATTGGTGCTGGTTTCCCGACACCTTGACATTGCTCTTCGGTGCCTACCTGTGATCTACTGCAACACAAAGTTTCCCTGCAGAAACTCCGTGTTCTGTATTCTCCAGCTCGTTATCCTTGTCTGTACAGACAAGGTAGCTTTCCCTATTACTTAATTATATTTTTTTCATTATCTTTTTAGCATGAGAAGATCCACTGGAATGCTAATCCTGTCCTCTAATGCTTTGCAGTCCTTTTCAGCTTTTCATTTTTGAATTTTTTAAGCATTCTTATTAGACAGCCATGAAAATTATTAGGAAGGATAGCACTGGAATCACGACAGATTTCTGATCAGATGTGGTGTGGCAATTCATTACCTTGGCTTCATTTACATATTTGCCCACATCCCTTTTAATCAGCTTCACCGTCCCTTTTTGAAAGATTTCGGGCAAAATACTCAAATTGGTCTTGGGGCACATCAATGGGATGAAAATCAGGCCAAGTGCTGGTCCTACCCCTGGGTTGGGGCACCCCTGGTACCAGCACAGCCTGGGAATGAACAGATGGAGCAGCCCTGGGGAGAAGGACTTTGGGTGCTGGTGGGTGAGAGACTGGACCTACCCCGGCCATGGGCACTCCCAGCCCAGAAACCCCCCATGTCCTGGGCTCAGGAGGGGGGGATTCTGCCCCTCTAACCCCTCAACTGAGACCCCACCTGCAGAGCTGCCTCCAGCCCTGGGGAACAACAGCACAAGGATGTGGAGCTGCTGGAGCGAGTCCAGAGGAGGCCCCGGAGCTGCTCTGAGGGCTGGAGCTCCTCTGCTCTGGAGCCAGGCTGGGAGAGCTGGGGATGTTCACCTGGAGAAGAGAAGGCTCCAGGGAGCCCTTGCAGCCCCTTCCAGTGCCTAAAGGGGCCTTACAAGAAGGCTGGAGAGGGACTTTTCACAAAAGCATAGAGTGACAGGACAAGGAGGAATGGCCTTAAGCTGATGTTAAGCTTAAGGATTGGGTGGGATATTAGGAAGGAATTGTTGTCTGTGAGGGTGGTGAGGCCCTGGCACAGGTTGCCCAGAGAAGCTGTGGCTGCCCCTGGATCCCTGGAAGTGTTCAAGGCCAGGTTGGATGGACCTTTGACCAACCTGGTCTAGTGAAAGGTGTCCCTGAAACAAGATGGAGTTTAAGGTCCTTTCCATCCCAAACCATGCTGGGATTCTGTTCTGTGATTCTCTGAGCCTCACTGCCAGTGCACTGGTCAGGGTTGGATGCACCCTGATGGATCTGATACCTTGGTATTGTCCATTGTGTCTATGCCTTGCAGAGATTATCAGACAGTGTCCAGAGCTTATCAGAAAGACTCACAGACTGAATTCCTGCAGCCCTGGGCAGAAGCTCTGCTTCCTGGTGGCTCCATGTGTTCTGGCAGCCACATCTCAGTAGCCGGATCTGGAGCAGGGAATGGTCCCCACATGCCCCCTGGAGCACGGACCTGCTGCCAGGTGCCTTTGTGAGTGGGACCAGCAGGTCGGGGTGACACTGAACACACCAGCAAACAAACAACACCTCTTTGGAGAGGGGTTTGCTCCAGTTTCTCCTCTCACCACACCACTTGTGGCAGGAGTGCCGCTATAAAACCCGGGGCCTCCCAGGTCCCCCACCCCGGCCACCTCAGACACACTCCCAGGATCTCCCCTGGCCTCCAGCCATGAGGGTGCTCTGCCTGCTCTTTGCTGTGCTCCTGCTTTTTTCCTTGGCCACCCCAGGTAAGAGAGGCACTCGTGGAGGTGCAGAAAGTGGGGTGACCCTGGAGGCTGTGGGTACAGGTGGCTGTCTCCTCTCCAGCCTCTGTGCCAGGGGGGTGAGGGAGGTGGTTCATCTCACTCAGCTTTGGCAGTGGGGATCAGGTACCTGCAGGAAGCTCTGGCTGATGACTTATCCCGCATATCTTTGGGTTTGGGATGACATGAATGCCACACTGCAAATGCCATCTCTCCCACTCATGCATGGAGGAATGGTTTTTAAGTGCCCAATGGTCCCCCAGCTCAGTGGGGTCAGAAGACGTGTCCTATTCTATGTGAGTCTAAAACCAAAGATTCCTGGTGCCTCAGTGCCACCTGGGAGCCAACAAGGAGATGAATTTCCCCTCATAACCCATCTCTGTCTCTGTCCCCCTGCAGGGCAGGGACAGTCCAAGAGCTCCTGTGACGGGTACTGCTCCTACTTGTGTGGCAAAACCGACGAGTGGACCTTCAGCCCCTCCTGTGGGAAGATGTACTGCTGCATCCCCTCACCCAAAAAGGGAAAATGATTGGGAAGGAGGAAGATCAGCACTCGGGGTGAAGCTCCCAGGTGCTGTGCTCATGGTGTGACCGAGACTGCTTTGAAGTAAAGACGGGCAGATAAGATTTCTGTGTGCTGTGTGGGTCATTTGCCTCCTGGGAGGGAGAGGTTGGCAGCCAAAACTCCTCAGACCATAATTACAACACAGCCCTGACAGCCTCAGGCATTTCTGAGCCCTGACACCAAAGTGACACATGGGAAAAGCAAAGGCTTTGGGATTTTCCCATTGCTTCAAAGCACAGTGGTGGCAAAGGCTGGCAGAGGCTGCTGCCTGATGTGTGCCTCCCTCCTCCACAAGTTGAATCCCAGTTAATTTTAGCCCCTCCAAGGCCCCTTCAGTCCCATTCAGCCTCTGCACTGGGGTTCTCAGTCCCATGGGGGATAGAAAGTGGAGATAAACAACCACCACCTTTCCATTGCACCCCAAAATCCCACTCCTGGGGTGCCAATCCTCATCCCAGTGTAGACACTCAGTGTAGACAACTGTGGTTGTCCTGGACACCCTTGTACTGATCAAATGACTTCTCAGCATAGCCTGTGACCAGATTATTCCATTGGGAGTCATCAATAATGGAAGAACAGATGAGGATTTCTGCAGTGGCCCCTTCCCCACCCACCCCACTGTGGGATACACCTTTCACTCCAGGTGTTCTGCAGGGGACATGGAATGATCTGGAGTGGGGTGGCTCAGAGAACCCCACAAAGGGCAGCCAGACAAACCTCTGGAGCAACACTGGAGGGTGAGATGTTTGTGTGAAAAAGGGTCATGGGACAGAAAGCAGCCCTGTTTGTCTGAAACCCTCCAGGAAACAGAGTGAGCTTCCATCCATGGGGCTGTGAAAACCCAGGAAAATCTTTATACTGACATCAGTAGGATGGAAGGAGCTGCAAGAGAAGAGTAAACTGGGTGCATACTGTGGGATAAGGAGTGTGAGGGGATTAACATCCACTTTTCAGGGCTGGGCAGCAGGAAAATATCACATTTGATACAGGATGGCCCATCAAGAGCCACAGGCTGTGGTCAAGATTCACCTGATCCCAGACAACAGGATAGGAAAGAAGGAAAATTCCCCAAAACAAACCATGTGTTGGTGACACTTCACAGACACACAAGGTTGAAAGATTGGTTAAAAATTGCACAAGGAAATGCTGAGTAAAATAAAAACCTCCTTTGCTGTTTCTTTACCATTTTTCACCAAGAAAAAAATCAGAATTGTAGGAGTGAAAAGAAAAGCCACGTGGAAGTGAATGAACTGCAAAATGGGGTTTTGAAGTGGTGTCTCTCACTCTGCTGCCTCTTCAAAATGTGTCTGCAGCTAAAAAAGTGTCCAAAACCAGTAGCTGGAGCAACCTGGTCTAGTGTAAGGAATCCCTGCCCATGGCAGGGGGGTTGAAATGAGATGAGCTTTAAAGCTCCATTTCAACTCAAACCATTCCATGATTCCGTAATATTATAAATTCTGGCTATGCCAAGAAGAAGATTTGTATCCTGGAAAGCACCTTTTATAGGAGAAATAGCTGAATATTTATACCTTACAGAGCCAGTACTGATAAATGACTGGATTACAGGGGTTTCATGTGTTTACAAGGAGAAAACAGCAGCTACTGGGCTTGGATTAAAGTTGTCCACTGGGAAAACCACTGTACAGCACAGATCCCACTGTACTTACACTCCACATCTTTGCAGGAGCAACAGGGGATGGAAAGGCCACTACTTTTGCACTTAATCTCAATAAGGAAGTTATGTAAAAACAGGGAAATTGTTAAAAAGAGGACAAAATGTACAGCTAAAAGAGTTGAATGCTTGCAAATAGATTCTTTGCAAGCACTGAGGGAGCTGTTTAAGGCCACTGTGATGGAGACTCAGGGAAAATGTATGACAGCTGTTAAAAATGCCCTGAGAAAGAGCAAAAGGAAAAGGTCACAGCAGAACAGTGGGATGGGGGAGGTTGTTAGAAAGGAAAAGCTGAAATTGTGTCCAAACGCGGAAAATAGAAAAGATAATAAACTGGGCCTGACAAAGTGTAAAACACAATAAGGCAGCTCAGCAGAGAATTGCAGGAAGAGCTTGCAAAAGGCAGGGAAACCTTCTCATAATAAGTCTTTTTTCTTATTCCAAACACATCAGGAACATGAAGCCTGACAAAGAGTGTGGTCAGAGCAAGAAAACTAATAAAAGCTCAGGCCACTCCACAGAAGCTGAGTGAAATTTTTGCAGCTGTGTTCACCTTGCAAGAGAGGAGGGAGGTCTTGGTGCTGAACTCTCCTTTGTAGGGACTCATTGAGGGACTTGTTTTAAATGTAAAGGGGGTGGAAGAGAAGAAATAAGCAACAAAAAATCACCAGCACCCAGATTTTTTTCCTCAAAAATAGTCTGAAGGGAATTCAAGGATGAAATGCTACCCTTCTAGGTGCAGTTTATGGATCTCTTCAGCCTGGAGAAGAGAGGGCTCCAGGGAGACCTGAGAGCCCCTTCCAGTGCCTAAATGGGCTCCTAAAGAGCTGGAGAGGGACTTTGGACAAGGGCCTGGAGGGACAGGATAAGGGGGAATGGCTTCCCACTGCCAGAGGGCAGGGTTAGATGGGATATTGGGAAGGAATTGTTGGCTGTGAGGGTGTTGAGGCCCTGACAAAGCTTGTCCAGAGAAGCTTTGGCTGCCCCATTCCTGGAAGTGCCCAAGGCCAGGTTGGAGTAACTGGTCTAGTGGAAGGTGTCCCTGCCCATGGCAGGGGGTTGGAATTAATGATCATTAAGGTTCTTCCCACCCAAACCATTCCATGATTTTGTGATCTATTGCTTAAGAAAATTTTACTGTGCAAAGATGGGAGATGCTGGTTTTGTGGGGAAAAAAACATCTTAAAGGGTCCTGTGGGATTACAAACCAGGATTATACCAGTTTAAATATAATCACATGGGGAAAAAAACAGGAAAATCCTGTCCTAAAACCTACTAGAGTTCCCAGAAGGAGGCAGCAGACTAGGGAGACTGAAATTCAAAAGACAGGGAGCAGCATTATTAGGCTGAGATGCAGGAGAGGGAGGTCATGGGGAACACTGTGGGGGTCACTGTTGGAAATACAGCAGTAAATTTGGGCATAAAAGATCCAGAAAGGGGGTTGAATGGAAAGGTGGCAAAACTTCTTACTGGACTGACTTGTTGAGGGTAATAAAGGGGAGGGCTGTGGAAGGACCTTGCTGGTTTGAGGGTCTGAGTCCTAATGTAGCTGATGAAATTCAGTGCAGATCAGACACACAAAGAAAAAAAAACCCTAATTTTGTGTGTCAAATGAATGGTTCTATGTTGGTTACTTGATTGCCAGGTAGAGACTGGGAATGCAGGAGGAAGAGAGAACAGGGAGAACCATCATTGCACTGTGTTGCTTGATAAATCTTGGGAATTTCAGCCAGATATTTTGGTCTTTTTTTATTTTTGGTGTTTTCCCATGTGTTTACCTCCTTTTAATGACAGTGAATATCTCTGTGAAAGAAGAGGGAAGAGCTGGAGAGTTGTAGTGCCACTCAGAGAGTGAAACCTGAGCCCTGGTGAGCCTCAGCCTCCCCCTTATCGGGGGACGCATCAACCACAAAAAGCCCTGATGGGTCATTTCTTTGTTATTTATACGAATTGCACTCAACCAGAAAGGCTTCGATGCAAAAAAAGAGGCAGTGCAGGCTCTTCCCTGATCCCTGACTGTGGTGACACGTGGGTACAAGTGACAGGGAAGCAGATGGGCAAATTAACAGGAATCATTGGGCCAGACATTCTCATCCTGCCTGGCATTCCTCCCTCTTCCAGGGCAGATGCACTGACTGTCACTGCAAGAAAAGACAGATCTTTAAAATGCATAGCACCAGGCAATCTGGTAACTCCAGATTTGTGGGCAAAGTGGGGTTTTTACCGCTCTGTGTGGCTTGATTCTTTTAAAATGTTTCTGTCAAAGTCTTATTTCACTGAAAATAAGGTATAGAGGAAAACAGCAGGAAAAAACCCCAAACTTACAGCCAAGATCCAAACTGTTATCATGGAATCATAGAACGGTTTGGGTTGGAAGGGACCTCAAAGCTCAGTTCCAACCCCCTGCAATGGGCAGGGACACCTTCCACTGGACCAGGTTGCTTCAAGCCCCGTCCAACCTGGCCTTGGACACTTCCAGGGATGGAAAGCCCACAACTTCCCTGGGTAACCTGTATCCCATTGTAGCTTCCAGAAACAGGGCTCAGAAAAATACCCTTTATTTTGGAGCTACAGTTTATGGTGCTGTTTTAATTGATACTCCCCATAAATAGACAGTGATCTCAGGCAAGAGGTCTGATTTTTGGGGTTGTCCTGTGCAGGGCCAGGAGTTGGAGTCGATGGTCCTTGTGGGTCCCTTCCAGCTGAGGCTATTCTGTGATTCTGTGATCATTTCTATGTGTCAGATAGGAAAGACAAAGAGGGTTTTTTTTTTCCCCAAATACCTTTCCTTTCAAGACGTGGATGAAAGCTTGACATGAGAGGGGTGAATAAAAGACAGCATTAAAGTGATGTGGTTTTAGCTGAAAAACCACAGCAACTGAGGATCAGATCATGATTCCACTCCTGTTCTATTGCTCTCTCCAACTCCCTGACAGGAGGGTGGAGCCCGGTGGGGTCAGTCTCTTCTTCCAGGGAACAAGTGACAGGACAGGAGGAAACAGCCTCAAGTTGTGCCAGGGGAGGTTTAGGTTGGATATTAGGGAAAATTTCTTCACTGGAAGGTTGTCCAGCCCTGGCAAAGCTGCTCAGGGCAGGGGTGGAGTCCCCATCCCTAGAGGGATTTAAAAGCTGTGTAGATGTGGCCCTTGGGGACATGGGTTAGGGGTGGCCTTGGCAGTGCTGGGAGATGGTTGGACTCGATGGTCTCAGAGGGCTTTTCCAACCTTAATGACTCTGTGAGCCTATTCAGTCTATAAATATGAGAACATCTCTGCGTTCTCACTTAAAAATAT